TTATGCGTATGCTTATAGGTTATATGGCCCAACTCGGGCCATAAAAATTTATGCATATAGGCAGGTTATGCTTATATACAGTATGCTTTTATACAGGTTCGACTGTATTATGAATATTTAACATAAACGAAAGTTATCAATATGAAATTATTACGAAAATGATAATATTTGTAAAATTTCACACATGAAGATATCGAAATCGATAACCTTTAAAGATTATCAATATAAATTTACTATGAAAATGATAATATTCATAAAATTTTATACATGAAAATATCAAAATCGATAATTTTCGAAGGTTATCGATATAAATTTACTATGAAAATGATAATATTTGCAAAATTTCACCACGTGAAAGTATCAAAATTGATAACTTTCGAAGGTTAGTGAAGACCTTCGAAGAATAACATATTGAAAAACAGCAAAATACTTATGTTAACATTAACTTTTGAAGGTTTTCACTAAAAAAAAAATTTCCTGATGAATATGTGAATTATTAACAAGATTTTTTTGATGAAGATTTGAAGATTCGATTCCTGTTAAATTTTCACTTGGCATTAACTTGTGTAATTCTGGTCAATATAGATCAGCTAAACTAAATGTAAAGAATATACATGTTCCCAAAATTGATTTTGGATTTTTGAGGTATTTCGACTTTTTAAGATTTATGCAGAATCTATTCTATATATAGAAGTAAAAAAAGTATCTAGTTATATGTATCTTTAATTAAAGAATAAATCTGAATAGTCAAAAAATTTCAGGTTTTAAGTAAAATAATTTCATCTTCTATAAAAAACTATTTTGACTTTTTTCTCCAAAATTGTAATTTCGGAACCCTAAAATAATTTTGCATGCAAGTATAGTAAAGAATATCATTTCTTACAAACTCAACTGTTTGATCATATCTAAGAGTTCGTATTACTATACTATCTAAAATTGACATGATTTGTGTAATCTCTTGTCATACTGCATTATCCAATCAACCATATATTTATCACTCATTGCAATCCTTTCTTGAATATCATTAACTGTAATTAAACTTTTACTTAAATTCTGTCTCATATATATTCTCCCTTCTTGCAATGTCCATCATCTCATTTGGAAATTTAATATAAATATCATCAACGGGTATGTAGTCTGAATTTGCTGTCTTTGTATTTAAGTAGATGTTTGAAGTATTCTGTTGACTTGACTTCTTTAATCCATTCTGCACGAAGATTTGCACTATCAGTTGAATATAAAGTTGAGAAAGTTATTGTGATATAACCCGGAGTTTGAAATTTATTTATAAGCTTATTGTCAATTTGCAGCCATGTCATAAGTAAATTTTCAGCTTGCATATGATCAAGCATCCTTTTAATAATAAGATCTTCACTGTGAGATGTAGAGAAATATGGAACGAAAGAATACATGATTATATCATTTCCATTTTTATCATTATCTGAATTTTCGTTTATTTAATTTTTCTTAATTTGTGGAAGCTAGTTAATAATAGCACAATTTTTAGGTAAAAATTGAAGAGTTTCATTATTAATAATAATATTGATATAGTAACGATTATTCACTTTCAACTATTGTAATGCATTAGCAACTCTTGCATAACGAACAGTAAAATCTCAGAAAGCTGTCAAATTATTTACAAAATGATATCATATGATTAGAATTTCTAATAACAATAGATACTGGAGAAGTCATGTAGCTAATTCATATACGTCTTGAAGAAAGTTTATTATATTTTCTCTATATCCATATTGTCTACCACATAATTTGTATACAGACATTACTGTAAAGGTTCTCATAATTAATATCTCTTCGATTTCTATGAGGTCTTGAAGCTCTTCTGGAACTTTATTCAAATCCATATTATTTTTTGTGAAGAATTTATTAAGCATATTTTCAGAGTGACACTGATGACATTTTCCCTTTATAAATATTATAGATAAACAATATTCATTATATACTAGGTATTGAACATGTTAAAGTTTATCCATCTTGGTATGAAATTTTTTCAAAAGGTTTCAATTGATATTACTAAGCTCAGTAGCGGGAGATTATTCGAAACCTTACTGTATATCAACATGATTTGAAAGTTACTGTTTTGAACATTGCTGCGATTCTCCACTTGACCTTTCCTGTGTTGTAACTTCATTATTTCAATCAATTTTCAATGCTCTTCTTTCTTTAATTTTCTTACATTGATATTTTAAACATTTCAAACGATTTTCTTTAAATTCATTTTCTATCATTTTTTGTTTTCTTTTTTGTTCCTTATTAAAACAGTTTTGTCATTCCTCGGCAAATTCCAATATTCTTCTTTTGCATTTTCAAAGATTAATTATTCATCTTTTAGTTTATTTCATCTTTTAGGTCTTTGATAATCAATGTTACGATACCGTAAAGATATTATTTTTAATAGATCTATTAAAAACAATACTTTGTCACAAAACCTGATTACCAATTATATCATCTGATCAAATTATTTATAGCTACAAAAAGTATACAATTTTAAAATAAAATTTATTATGTGTTTATATATAATGATTATAAATTTATGATTCATTTTTTCTTATGTGCTAAAATATTTAATTTTTTTTTTAAAATTTTTTAGGAATAGTAATATATTTCTAATCTTTCTTTTTATATTTATTAAGTTTAATATTTTTTACTAATAATTTTTTTTTCATTAAGCTTAATTAATCAATATTATTTTAGTCAATCATTTAATTAATGCAATTCAACCTATATATAATTACCTTCGTATATAATCACCTTATCTTATAATCATCATTTTTTTTTGGTCTCAAATTTTTAATTTTAATTTTTTCTATGTATAATTATCACTTATATTAATTTTATATATAATCACTATTACCATTAATTATAAATCTGATCATATGTAATTTATATAAAATTTTCTTATATATAATCTCTAATTTATTGATAAAACTAGTGATACGTAGATAATTAATCTATCAAATAAATTTTTTTTTACCATTGTTACAGGATGAAAAAGTATAGTATATAATATTAAAAATACCTGTAAATAATTAATAATTCTAAAAATAATAATATTTAAAATTTAATTAGCAAATATTAACTTATGTAATAAATAGTAACATTTTAATAATTTTTCAGCTAATATAAATAGTCTGTAACATATATTAATTAGTCACAGAATAGTAGTACAAAATCACGTAATATTTGATTACACAAATATAACTATCAATTCATAACATTAATTATTATAACCTAAAGAAATAATAACTAATAGTAATAGTATACAGTAAAATACAATAATGGCACAGTAATGAAGATCATTAAATTTAGATATAAAAAGGAACTAAAATTACCTTGCTCCTCTTTAGTTTACAATTTTATAATTTTGAATTTTGATAATTTGTAACTTATTTGAAATTGATAAATCTAATTTTATAATTTGTAACTCTAAGATAAACACTGGTAAAAATTATCTTATAATAGAATTAATAAAACAATAAATACAGAAAATATAAATATACATTATAAAAATAATTGTTAAATGATATAATATATAGTTAACAAAGGAATAATGAATATTATAGAATTAAATACTTAATTGTATAATTGTATAATATTATTATTTCTGAGTTAATGAAATTAATTATAAATTGTTATTATAAATCCTGGACTTGAAATAATAATTACTCTGGATAATTGAAAATAAAATTCAAAGTGATGAAATTAAAAGATAATGAATGGATAGATATTAATATTAAAGATGATGATGAACTTGAAAAGATATTGGAATAAATTGAATAAAAGGTCTGATTTCCTTTCTGAAATAATTGAATCAGTGGTGCTTTCTAAAATAATTGAATGACAGTCTTACCTTTGGAAAAAGATTATAAACTCCTTAAAAAAACTATTAAGTCACTTTACTAGTTTGTCTTCAAGAGAACCAGGACATACTGATGACACTATCATATCTTTATCACTGCTACCATCTATTTTATATCATTACTGTTGTATTTATTACTGTCATTATCTCCATGTTTTCATCTCTGTCATTATTGCTATTATCTTCTATCACGTTATTTTTATTGTCATTATTGTATAATTAAATAAATAAAAATTATTATTTCCTGATTTATATTATAATTTCATTATTTTTTTTATTTATTTTAAGTAATTTTATTGCTGTTATATTCATGTCACTATTGCTATTATTCTTACCATCACCATTACTACTATCTTCACCATTGCTATTATCATTTATCAATATCGCTATTATCTTTTGTCACTGTCACTGTTGATAACCTATAAAAAATAATTCCAATTTACAACATAGATAATTTAGTTAAAAGGTATGACAACGTAATTAAAACTTTAACAAAAAATATTGTCACAAAAAAAAAATAAAAACATTTGGCTATTAGTCAAGAGATAAAAAAAAATGTTTTTATGTTAAACAAAATCTTGACAAATCTCATAATGAAATTCCAAACTATTTCAACATTAAATATATTGACTTGTCTTTAAAACATTTCACCATTTTAAAGATACTTAAGGATAAAGAAAAATAGGAGAATCTTATATCAACTGAAAATTCTATAAAAATTTTAGAGAATGTTTAGTAAAATTCTCTTACTTAGAAAAAGCTATTGATCTTTGGATAAGTCAAGTATCAGCTAGTGGTCTTACTATTAGTGATAACATTTTATATAAAAAAGCTAGGATATTTGTACAGGCTTTAGATATTTCAGAAAAATTATTATCATTATCTAATAGTTGACTGATGGATTTTAAACAGAAAAATAATTTATATTCTTTTTTAGAAATTTTATCTTAACAAAGAAAAATTATTCAAGAATTATTATCTAGTTATGAAGTTGAAAATATTTATAATGCTAATAAAACTGAATTGTTTTATAGAATGACAAGTAATCAAACATTGGTAACTGGTCCTGTTAAGAATAAAAAAAAGGTAAAATATATTTTTTATTTAAATAATATTAATAATATTATATTATTTTTTTAAATAATTTATTAAAAATTTGATTTTTAGAATAAATTACAATTAACTATATTGTTAGTAACTAATGTTACTAGTACATCAAATTTGAAATCTTTAATAATTGGACATTATAAATGTCCAAGATATTTTAAAAATATTAATATGTCAATGCTTCCAGTAATATATAAATCAAATTCAAAAGCTTGGATGCGTCACAATATTTTTGAAAATTAATTAAGGGATTTGAATTATAAACTTCATATGAAACAAAAAAAAATATTATTATTAATTAATAATGCATCATCACATATAAATCCTAGTTATATTGATAATGAAAATGATAATAATGGTCAAGATCAAATTCAAACTTAAGGAATTCATTTTACAAATATTAAATTATAGTATTTATCTCCAAATACAACTGTTTATTTATAACCATGTAATGTAGATATTATAAATAATTTTAAGGTATGATACAAATAATTTATTTAAAAATTAATATATTAAAAATTTAATTAATATAAAATATTTTTATTTCATTATAGTTAAAATATAAACAATTATATTGTTGTAACTTTATCCAAAGATTTGAAAGAGATAAAAATATAGATAAATTATAATTAAAATTTATTTTTTTAATTATTTTTTTTTAATTATTTTTTTAATTATTTTTTAATTTTTTTTTAATTTTTTTTTTAGCAAATTAAATGTTAAAGAAGTAATTGATTTTATTGAAGAAGTTTGGGAAAAAGTAACATCATTAACAATTACAAATTGTTGGATAGAAACAGGAATTTTATCAGATACAAATGAAGAAGAAATTAATGATGCTAAAAATAATATGCAAGATAAGGATTTATATAATCAAAATGAAATCGATAATCTTTTATTAGATATAGATATTTCATTAGAATTTGAAGATAACAATAATATAGCTATTGAAGAACTATTAACAGATGATCAAATAATTAAATTAATATTGAAAGAAAATAATTCTGTATTACAAAACATCAACAATGAGTCTGACAATGAAGAACCACCTATTGTTAGTATTAAAGAAAGTTTTGTATCTTTAAAAAAATGGATAAGTTTTTTTGAACAACAAAATTCAAATGATTTTTGTTTTGACGATTTAATTAAATTTAAAAAATATATATGAATTGTTGAAAAAATAGAATTTATGAGTAAAAACAAACAAAATTAGATAGTATTTTTTTTACAGATATGAGTTTTGAAATAACTGAAGTAGATTGTAATTCAAATTTTAGTTTTGAAATGAATGAAAATTTTGAATTGAAAGATAATATATAATATAATATATAATAAAGTTTTAACAATTTTAATTATAAAAATTTATAATCACTGGTGATATATTTTTTATATGATGTGATTATACATAGGTTTTTCAAATAATATCACCTACTGCTATAATCACTACCAAAATGTGGTAATTATATATAGGTCTGACTGTATATTACATACATATAATAAACTTTTTATTAAAATAACCATTGTTGTATAAATAATAAACTTTTTACAAAAATAAATTTTGATAAATTTAAATTTATTTATTGCAAATACTATATTTTATTATAAAATCATTATTATACAATTGTAAAATCATAAAATAAAATTAATTTTACTTTTTTAATAAATTTAAATTAAATATGTACTGCTCCGGACTCACAACGGTTCCCGTTTCCTAGTAGATATAATATGAAGGAAGGGCTGCATTATTTTGTTATTTTATCAGACTTGATATCCAAAAATTCTGCCATTACTAATTTATTTCACAATTTTGAAAAGAAATGGGAATTAATAAATTATATACCATTGAACAGTGTAGGAACAAAAATTGATTTTTTTTAAAATGTAAACAACATTATAAAAATTCACTTTGAATCATTAATTAAAGTTGTTCAGAATTGATTTTTGCATATATTTACAAAGTTTTAATCTATTTTTATAAGCCAGTTAAGGGTACGGACAGCGCGGACGCGGATACAGGGACAGAAAAAAACATGCAAAATGTTCACCTCAATTGTAACTATTGTGACACCGACCATATAAAGACATTGAAGAAGATGCCTGTTGATTAATCGGGATGTCGCATAGTAATCATTATTGTCAAAGCTACAAAAGTAGAAGAATTTTGTAAACTAGACTCAATATATTATTATGTTCTGCTCCGACCGTAAGTTGCTTTGAAATATCACCTCGCATTTATTACAGGAATGACAAGATATTAACTGTTTTATCCGATGGATTATCTGTTTTCAACATGCTACTACGTTTTAGCAGGCAAATTTGTTTAAGGGATAAAATTCGCTGACCAATCAAATTCATTCTAATTTATTTAAGGTCAAGAGTAATTTGTGATCTGGCACTGATTCTGATAATCAAATAAACATGAATGCTACCCTTTTTCAAGTAATGAAATATTGCGGAGAACAATTGGATATATATCAACGTTGCGTGGAAAATCATCCGGAAGGTTGGCATTCAGAATGTCTTGAGCAAAAACGTAAACTTACCAAATGTTCGGAAGAAAAGTAAGCAAGCTTAAAATATATTTTACGTCATTCAACATATTGTGATACAGTTTAGTAATTATTTTTTTATACATTATAATTGTCCTGTTTCCATTTTTGATATTACGTTTTAAATATTTAATATTTTAAATTACAATTATTCTCCTACACTTTACACATATATTTATTTTCTTTAATTTAAAATAGAGTCCCCGAAATAAAAATGGTAAAACAAAAATGCAACAATGTTATAGTTGCATTTGATGAGTGCCTGGCCAAGAATGAATCAGATCCCGAGGTTTGTCGAGATCAATTGAAAGCTTTGTATGAGTGTACTGAGAATAACGCTGGTGGTATTTCTATTACTGATTCTGGAAATTTGACTGGGGAAAACCAAAATATTGAAAATGAAAATTCTTCCATACATAAACGATAACATATATTTATTTATTTACCGTTTAACTTACCTTTTTAGGTTTATAAAACAATAGATCAAATAATTTAGGATCTTTAAATGTGCCGTCTCTATTAAAAGCATGACCCAGAAATTTGGTTCCTTTTTTTTTCAGGATTACGATTCCTAACTTTTCTATGATTCCCTTTTTTTTTCCTTTAGGAACACCATATCCAAATACACCTATTTGATCAATTCATTTATTCACGTTAATTAAAAGCAAAATTTTTCTTGTTTTTAAAGAATTAAATATATTAAATATCAAATACCTATCCCATTATATAATTGTGCGGCACTATGTAAATCTTTGATAGGAACAATTTTAGTACGCAAGAATGGTAATTTTAATGAGTTCTCAATTTTGGCCATTATTTTTTCATTCTTAATAATTATGGAAAATCTGGATACTGTCCTAATTTAATTTTGATTAATAAAGAACTATAAAAATTTCATCCCTTTTACACAATTATTTTCCTGATTGATTATCAACTTACGAATAAGGAATAAGCAACATTGCAAAGATGCCAAGGGGTATCATAAATCCTGCATACTTTAATTTATTCAAAATATTCCTTCGACAAGCAATAAATTAATGTCAATCTTATTGATCTACAGTTTTAAAACTTCTCTTTAAATGCTTACTCTTTATCAGCTGACAGAGTTGATAGACGTTTAATTGTATCCATTGCAAAACCCCTAAAAATTGAAATTGATTCATGTTTCTAATTAGGAAATTAATATATTTAATGCATCATCCATCATCATCAAATTAAAGAAATAATACCAATATATTATTTGTGCAATTACTACAGAATGGATCATCCAATTTGTTCGGGAAGCATATTCGGGTTCCTTATACATATCAAATTCACCCTTTTCCAGTGATTTATGAAAATTTCGAATTTTATCTTTTAATAATTCGCGTTCACCTTGAGGTAGATTCGGCATTACTTTTCGGGTTGTGAAATGTTTATTATTTGTTCCAAAACCTATTTTGCAAATAGGTAAATAAGATGCTCTGGAATATCTATATTATTTATTATAATGTTGCCGATATCTGTAGATAATTGCGTTTTGGATGATAATTGACATTGACATTAAATAAAAGTTATACCTAAAGGGAACTGCAACCGTTTCCAAAGGTATTGCTGGTTAAGCACTACAAATTTATTAAGTTTATTCATATTCAAAGTGATAAAATTCATTAGATCATCATTGAATCATCATTTGATCTTTTTTTATACGCCTCCTTTAAACCTTAAATATCCAGGTGAGGTAATACTATCTTTCCGGAATTTCCTCGTTGTACAAAATGTTCCGTCTAACATTTACGCAATCGATGATCTAATCCAATCCGGAGAAACGGGCCGAGGCATGTCATACAAGAAATGGCTTTTGCCCTGGGTATTTAGGGTTACCGTACGGCAGTGCCCGTTGGGACTTTCTGTTCTCACACTTTTTTTTTGCGGTCTTCTTCGCTAAGGAAAAAAAAAAACCTACATAAAATAGACTCATAGACGTGGGCTGGAATACCACAAATCAAATAGTACAGCCTATACCATTTTTTATACCTGTTAAGAAACAAAGTTAATATTGAATAAATAAATATATATACACAAAAAAAAAAAAAGATATGCGAGAAGGAACACTATCTTTACGCCCGACCATAGCCGACGTAGTAAATGACGCTCAACTTCTTAAAGCCGTTGACATTTTAAAAGAAAAAACATCGGCGTCTGCATATTCGTTGGCGAGTATGTTGAGCGTTGTCAAGTACGTTCTTGGCAAACCCTACTTCCCAGAAACCGTTTTTGGAAATAAAAAAACGGTAGCTTTTGAATTTAAAGGACAAAATTACATTGTTGAATTCACATGTAAAGGTCCTTCCGAAGTTAACGCGACTCCTATGGACGTTGACACACGTATCGGAAATAATGGTTTAAATAACCACGTTCAACACGCCTCGTCGTTGTCCTCGTCTCCACAAGTTTTACAACCTACCATCGCTGACATCCTCGGAGACGCTAAAACACTCAGACTTATAGAATTACTTCAACAGAAAACTAAAGAATCACCAATGAAATTAGCCAGTTTACTTTGTATCGTTAAAGCTGTATTTGACGACGTGGGTATAAAGGATCGATTATTTCAAAATAAAATCAAATTTTTACATGGTAATCATGGTAATATCATGCAAGAATACATGATCGAGTTTGAAGATCCACGTAGACCGGATGATCTTGCTTTCGAGACAAAAAATGAGCAAAATGGAAATAATTTCAATATTTCTCAAGATTCAAAAACAAACGTCTTTAAAACTGATGTTCATCATCACGATGACGATGAAGATATGATGGATGAATTAGAGAAAGATGAAATTGTGGAAGAGAATCCACCAGAAAACGAGTTGTGGCGTACACATATTCCTTCAATTGTTACGAAAAGAAAGCATAATGCCGATAGTCCTCATTCCGAAGATGAACAATGTGTTCAACAACCTATATCTACTAAAAGACGTTCTACGGACAAACATAAGGCGCCTCCCTTAAGTTAGTATTTATTTTTTAAGATAAAGTGTTTTTATGTGAATTTTATAATTGTTAACCATTTTCATTTTCATAGGTTGTGAAGCTGTCAAACGTCTCTTCACAGGAATTACTAAGACAACTCTACTTCAAAGATTGGAGGAGTCTAAAACATTAATCGCTTCCATAAAGGATAGCTACGCAAATATTCGACCGTCAACATCACCTAATTTAAATTCATCACCTCGTTTGAATCTTTTGTGTCATCTACTTCAATCACCTCCAACCTCTCGAATTGATGGTATTTCTTCCAAAGTTTTTTCAAATTTGGAACTTTATAAATTATTTACCACATACAACGCTTATAAGGAAGAAGTTGCGCAAAATACTCATCTCGATACCTTAAACTCACCCAATAAACGAAATCATACATCACCTTCATCTGATCCGATGTCACCGATAACCTTTCCAACATATTCTTCATTCATTGACCCAACTGTTACTTTACATATTAAAGAACAAACTGGTGGTAAAGAAGTAGGAAAGCACCGTTTAAATTGTGCATGGAGACTTAGTATACTGTGCGAATTATTGGGAAAGGGAGTATTGTTGATGACCAAAGAATTGAGTGGAGCGAAATTGGAGAGAATTCTTGTTGAAGAATTTTCTAAGCTTGTAGACTTCTTGAAAAACCCCGAAAATCATGATTGGGTTGTTAATATAAGAGAGAAGATGGAATTGGTTGGATTTGATGAAGTTTATGCACCATTAGCCGAAGCAGATATAGATAATAGTGCAATTACTGGATCGTCAGTAGTTAATAATAATAATAATAATAATAATAATAATAATAATAATAACAATAATAATAATAACAACAATAATAATAATCATCAGCAAAATTCCATGAAATCCAATATGGGAATGAGTAACGGTGGTCACGTAGACATCCCTGTCATTACATTTGCTATTGACAATATCGCTCAACATTCGCAAGTGATTGACCCAAGATTAGCAATGCCATCAGAAGAAGAAATTATGCGTCATGGACAACAACATTACACGGAAGTAGATCAAAAAGGTGAACCCATTCCATCCATGAGAGTTCCTGGTAACGGACGTCAACTTACCTTTGTCAAAGGTGCTAATCAAAAATATTGAGGAAAAAAAAATTGTATCAAGCAAACATGGATGATTTATTAGTAAGTAACATTTTAACAGAAAACAGAAAACAGAAAACAAAAAAAACTTCTTAAATGAATTTTTTTTTTCTTTTGTAATAGATTTCTTTCTTAATTGAATAATATCATCGTTAAATAATCTAAATAATCTGTATACACATTAGTTCTGCATGTTGGTGATACTTTTTTTTTTTTTGAATTTTATTTTAAAAATATATATTTGTTTTAATGGGACGGGAATATTATTGAGAATTGCAACATTGCAACATTATAACACTATGTAAAAGTGAAGTTTAACTTGTATATTTTATACATATTATAAAATTTTTGATAATTTCTTTTTTATAAATTTGCATCTTTTGACAATTCACAAAATCTTGATAAAATAAACATCAATTAAAAAAAATTAAATTTGAGTAATCACTTTCAGGTCTGCATTTGTTATATGTCTATGAGAAATATATTTCACTATGGTAAAAATGGTTTAAATTGATTAACTACTTAATACATTTTATATAAAATACACCTGTTTTTTTATTGGTATTTTACTCATCAAAAGAAAAAAATAAATAAAGATTTTAAAAATGTAATTACACAAAAAAAAAAAAAGGAATTATAATTATAATACAAACATAATAACTTTCACATGATTCATTAAAAATTTACTAAATCAATAAATATAAAATATAAATATTGTAAAATTTTTACATAACTGAAACAAAAATGACAAAAATCCAAATTCCCTATTCTAATTTACACTTAAAAAACCCAAGTTACATATTGATAATATAAACTTCTAATTATTAATAATTATTAACTAGTTATGAAAAATGAATCCAAAGTTCCAATTGTATACTCAATAGGAACATAATTTTTAGCATTGCCCGCTGATAATTGACCTACCTCATAAACTGCCCAAGAACCATCAAGATTATTTTTACCAACACAACACATTATAACAGCTTGTGATGATGCAGCTTGTTGAATTGTATAGGTACATAAATTTATATTAGGTGTTGAACTATCATACATCCTAAAACTAGGATTTGGAAAATGTCCAATATTCGGAGAATTCCATGAAGATAGAATAAAATAAAGTTTTGTAACATCCGTTGGTAGATTAGATAAATTAGCTAAAATACGGTGATGACCTTTATCAAATAAGATTAAAGTCAAAAGTCTTTTTTTTTTTTAGAAAAATGAATGATATAAAGAGAACATAAAGAGGAAATAAAGAAAACATAAAGAGAATATAAAGAGAATATAAAAAACTACCTCTTCGATTTACGTGATCCATAAGATCTCCGGAATGCGACATATTCGGAATATCAAAATAAGTAGTGGATTGATAATCATATTTTCTCCAAAACTTGTTTCCTGTATAAAGCATACACGTGCCATCAAGATAATCACATCCGTTCATTGGATATCCCCAATATAGTTCGAAAGTTAAATTTTGAATTGATAATTCTTTAGAGATAGAGTAAAGAAGAACTATAAGTTGAATATGGCTTTCGGCTACTATTCCGTATTCGTTCAGGCTGCATTGAACTCGTCCTGTATTATAATTCTAAAATATATAAAAATACATTAATATAAAATTTTTGATTGATAGTTTAGATAAAGAGTTTCTTAAAAAAAAATACAAACATTCAATTCTGTTCCCTTATAAATCAATTTTTGTTTTGATACTTCGACTCCCGTTTGTTTTCTCAATGTTTCTCTTAGAGCAATAATTGTCTTAATATTTTCAAGTCGTAATTTTATTTTTTGTCCGTTTAATAAGACAACATAGAAATCCCCTACAGTGGAATTTCCATTAACATTAATCTCATTATTATTATTATTATTATTATTCTTACTACTTGAAGCTTTTATTTGAGAAATATTTTCAATGTCAATTCTGAAGGGCGCTTTTTCCCATGCATGATTCAAATCACGAATTTCCTTAAAAGTCAACGAGACCGAACACTCAGGGCATTGACGCGTGGATGTATTTTTTTGTAAATTACTTATTATACACTTTATGAAATATAATTTGGGAATATAAAATTATTATTTGGTTTTAATTGTTCGAGTGGCGCAGTAAATAAATACCTTTAAACAATAAGTTGATACGTGAGTACATTTTTGACTTATAATATCAGACGGAAACTCTCGAGATAATTTATCAAGAGAACATGATGTGCACTTCATTTTTTTTTTTTTATGTCCAAGTATTATGAAAGATAAGTCTCAACCTATTTATAATATTTATACTACACGGATTTTCAATCAACATTTTCCGAGTTTATAACAAGGGTCTCCTTAAAATACACCCCAGGTTAATCTTAAAATGACTAATATCAGGTGCCATAATGGATCAACATCAAAACTTTTTTTATTATTAAAAATAAAAATAAAACTTTAATATTATAAGAAATACATAATTTTTTTTTTACAAATTTGGGAATATAAGGAAAAAAAAAAATTCTCGAGAATAAATGATAATTTATTATTTAAATCAAGAAATTCCTAATTCAAAATCAAATGTAACCAATCTAACCAATCTAACCATGTAATGCGCATTCACCTATACTAATCTCGATAGGATCGTAATCATTAGCATTTCCTGCAGAAAATTTTCCAACTTGAATAACTTGCCACATTCCTTCACCAGCTCTTGAAACACAACACAAAATTACAGCTTGAGAATTAGCAGCTTGTTGAATAGTATAAGTACATAATTCTTTATCAGGTTGAGCTTCATCATATAATTTGAAACTAGGAGTTTTGAAATGACCAATTGTAGGTGATTTCCAAGAACTAAGAACAAAATAAAGTTGAGTAACATCTTGTGGAAGTTGATCAAGCTTGGCTGCGATTCGCTGATGTCCTAAAAAATTTTTTTAAAAAAAATTTAATATTTGACTCTCAATTTAGATGTACAAATAAATAAACAAATAAATTTCGTTTCTAACCTTCTTTCTTGGCATTATCCATCATATCTCCAGAATGTTTCATATGAGGGAAAGAAGGGTAATACACAGATGCATAGTCATATTTTCTCCAAAAAGTGTCACCAGCATATAACAAACAACTTCCATCAAGATAATCCTGCGATCCGTTTGCTGGATATCCCCAATGCAAATCAAATACCAAACTCTTGAGAGCTTCTGCTCTAGTGATATTATAAAGTACAACAATCAATTGGACATGACATCCTGGTCCTATTTTATAATCTGACAAATTTCCCGGACGACGATCAACAGTGTCCTTTGTAATATAAATTATATCATAAATTATAATAATAATAATAATTTCAAATTTATTATTATTGAATATTATCAAACCTGCAATTCCACCCCATTATAAATCAACTTTTGTTTGGCTTGATTAACTTGTAATTTCTTAAATATATTAGACCTCAACGCAATAATAGTTTTATTTTCTTCTAACGACAAAGTAGTTTTTTGTCCATTCAACATTACAACGTGGAATTCTCCTGTTGTAATATTACCATTATCAGGAATAATTGGTTGGATTTTTCCAATACTATTAACATCAATTTTAAAAGGTGCTTTATCCCACGCTAATTCGAGTGCTTTCACTTCTTGAGGAGTCAAGATTGCAGGGCATTCGGGACATTTGCGTTGTGTTTTATTTTGATCCTTAAGTTGAGCTATCAAACACTATATAAAAATATATAAAAAATTGTAAAGGTAATTAAAAGAAAATTAAAATATTAATAAAAAAGGATAGGAGGTAAACTTATAAAATATATAAATTATATAAATATATATATATATATTTTGACATACCCTCAAACAATAAGAAGAAATATGCTGACAACGTTCTGTAATTGTTGAAGGAGGGAATTCTTTGGAGAGTTTTTCTTGCTTACATTGTACACATTTCATATTTGCAACCGAAATGAAGTACGAATTTTAAAACTATTTTAAGCTCAAAATCAAATATTTATAGTTTAAAGATTTTCGTTCTCATCAAATCCTGTTTAAAACGGAAAAACTTGACAAACACTCCGTATAAACTTTAAATGGAAAAATGAAGGTTACATGGAACATGCACGAGATCTTACAAAATCTAACCTTTCTTTTAATACAATTTATTTATTTTTCGAACTTTAATAAAAAATCTTTGAATTGCTCATCATTTATTCATTTATTTAATAAAGCTATATATACCGAAAAATTAATTTATACTTTGATACTGAATTTTATTCCCACTTTTTTTAATATAATATCTTTTATTTTTTATTTTTTTATTTTTTATTTTTTGTTTTTTATTTTTTATTTTTTATTTTTTATTTTTTATTTTTTATTTTTTATTTCTTCGTAAAATATTTAATATCTCGTTTTTTTTACGACGATCTTTTAATATATAATAATTATAATTATAAATGGAAATGATGATCTGTGGTTAAGTGATCGTCAAATACGCGATCACAGATTCGTCATCAAAATAAATTTGACCCAATCGACATAAAAAATTTTCATATACTTTCGCTATATAAAAAAAAAAAAAGTTAATAATTCACCTTTACTACATAAAACTTAATCAAAATAAATCCAATATGGCTGGTCCAGACGAATGGCTCGTTACTATAAAAAAATGTGAATTTTTGCCTGAAACAGATATGAAAAAACTTTGTGAAATGGTATGCACATTCAAAAGTAGATCTTCGTAGATCTCTGTTAACTTAATAATATGAAGTTTTTATTTATTAAATAGGTCAAAGAGTTACTAATGGAAGAGTCAAATATACAGCCAGTACATACACCCGTAACAGTTTGTGGTGATATCCATGGACAATTTTATGATCTATTAGAATTATTTCATGTTGGTGGAGAAATTCCAGACACTCATTATATATTTATGGTAAATCATTTTATTCAAAAATTGGTCATTTAGAATTATATATATATATACATATATATATATACATATATATATATATATATTTTTAAAAAAAATTTTATTTCTATTTACTAAGGGAGACTTTGTAGATAGAGGTTATTATAGTTTAGAAACATTTACTCTTTTGATGGTTTTAAAAGCAAGGTATGATATTAATTTATTCAAAATATTCAAGATTAATAAATAAATTATTAATTAATTATTAATTATTGATTCCTTTTTTTTTTCCCTAGATATCCAGACAAAATCACTCTTCTAAGAGGGAACCACGAGAGTAGGCAGATTACACAAGTGTATGGATTTTATGGTAAATTTAAATTATGTAAAGTAATTCGGATTTTTTTATATATTTTATTTATGCATTTTTCATTTAATTATAAATAAGACGAATGCCAAACAAAGTATGGAAATTCTAATGTTTGGAAATATTGCTGTCAAGTGTTTGACTATTTAACTTTGGCTGCAGTAAGTTTGAAATAAAATAAGGATTGCTTGTTATTAAGTATAATTGTTGTAATAATAAAAGTCGAATTTGAATAGATTGTTGATGGGCGGGTTTTATGTGTTCATGGTGGTTTATCACCCGAAGTTAGAACACTGGATCAAATACGAACGATACCTAGAGCTCAAGAAATTCCTCACGAAGGGGCCTTTTGTGGTAGGTATACTATTTATTATTAATTTTAAAACATATATTTTATTTACCTTTTATTTATATTTATTTACATTTTACATTTTATTTATATTTTATTTACATTCTATTTATATTTTTTACATTTTTTTTAACATAATTTATATTTCTTTTTGATAGATTTAATGTGGTCAGATCCGGAAGATATTGAAACATGGGCAGTAAGTCCACGAGGTGCTGGTTGGTTATTTGGAGCAAAAGTAACAAATGAGGTATGAAGTTTTATTTTTAATGATTTTAAGAAAAATTATATATAATTAATATCTTTTCTTGTCTAATATAGTTCAATCAAGTTAATGATCTAACTCTAATAGCTCGGGCTCATCAATTAGTACAGGAAGGTTATAAGTATATGTTTCGAGATGAGAATCTTGTTACTGTATGGTCAGCACCAAATTATTGTTATCGTTGTGGAAATGTAGCATCTATCATGGCAATTGACGAAAATTTGCAAATTGATGAAAACAGTTTTAAAATTTTCAATGCTGTTCCGGATCAAGAACGTTCTATTCCACCTAGGGTTGGTCCTGGTCAATATTTTCTTTAAAAAAAAAAAGAGAGAATTATATTTTGGGTTAATTACTTTGTATTTGTAGATAAAAAAAAAAAAAGTAGAAAAAAAAGTGTACCAGCCTTTGTAAAAGGACAATTGCTGGAATATTTGAATTATAAGTTTTTAAATTAAATTTATAATACAAATTTATTTAACAAGTACAATCCTTCAATTCAGTAATATTTTTTGTAGATAATCATTCTCTTCAAATTGATTCATTAATTTCACTTCATAACATAATTGATAGAAATTATTTTTATATAAATACTGTAGTATTTTTTTTTTTTTTTTTTAAATTCTGTACATCATTATAACAAATTATTAATTAATTATAAAATTAAATTTATTCAACTTTAGTATCTACTTCTATTTTCCATATTTCTGCATAACATGTACACATATATTAGAACCTATCATTATCTAAATTAGATAATAAAAAGTCCTGTTGGAAATAGACACCCTTACCAACTTAGGCTGAACGTACTTATCCGTATATATATCCATGGATAAAATAAATATTTCGTGCGATATAATAATTTTTTTGTAACAAAATAAGAATCGGAAATAATCATCGATGGTTGTTACATATAAAACATTTTATTTTAATAAGCAAATATCAAAAGCAGTACTAAGTAATCTTAAAGATAAGAATCTTTTACGTATTATATTAAAAGAACAGACCTATATCATCAAAATTAAGAGAATTAGTAGTGGTTAAATTTCGAACGGACGAAAAAATTTTAAATGACAATTGTTCGCTTAATTTTGACGATATACATCTGTCCTTTAAATATAATACGTAATTAATTCTTATCTTGAAGTTACTTAGTACCGTTTTTATATTCACTAACAATATAAAATGTTTTATATGTAGCAACGATCGATGATTTTATGTTATAATTATTATTATTACATTAATTATAACAAAATTGCCGATCGTTGCTACATATAAGACTATATAAGACTTTTTATATAGTAAGTGAATGTCAAAAACGGTACTAAGTAACTTCAAAGGTAAGAATTAATGCGTATTATATTTAAAGGACAGATGTATATCGTCAAAATTGAGCGAACAATTGTCATTTAAATTTTTTTCTCCCGTTCGAAATTTAACCGCTAAAAGTTTTTTCAATTTTGATGATATAGATCTGTTCTTTTAATATTATACGCAAATCATTTTTGTCTTTAAGGTTATTTAGTACCGTTTTTGACATTCACATATAATGTTTTATATGTGGTAACAATCACGAATTATTTCCGATTTGATGAACGGATATCTGAGGATATCCGTTTATCTGGAAAAAATCATCCATACCTATCAAAAAATAACCATAGGTACATATATCAAAAACGATACCTTTGTTGGTTGTTTGTCGGAGTATCAATAAGTTAAAAAGAAAGCAATATATTTGAACGCAATAAAAACGCGACATCTTTTTAAAATTTTTAAACAAATTTTTTTTGGTTCGTACAACATTCGTACACACATGTACAATTGTGTACGGCCTCAATTTTAGGCCGGTACACCGCTCATGTGATCTACCTTACTCCACACCTTTCTGTATTATCTTGTATTTTCTCTATAGATCGCTATGAGCAAGGGACTGAAACGTACACCAAGTTTAGGGACGATGCCTGGCTTTTCCAGCATTTCAGCAATAGAATCACCTAGTCCGACAGGAGCTAATACTCTAAATAGACCTGCTCAGGCATCACAGTCGTTATATCCCCTATGTTTAAATCTTTTAGAAAGACTTTACTGTGTAGAAGATTTTGAACAATATTTAATTCAAGGACAGAGTGCTATGCAGAGTGGCTCAATAGTGGGCACCCCAACGTCAGAAAATGGCCCAAACAATTCTAGCGTTGTTCTTAAAGACCCCGTTACGCTTTTATGGCAAACTTTTCGGTTGGGATATCCGCTATGTGCACTCTTCAACGCTTTACAACCACAAAAGCCGTTAAAGGTCTCAAATGAGGATACAAGATCAGGCAGTACCAAATCTAAAGCTAATAAAGCCTACGTATACCATTTTCTTGTTGCCTGTAGAGAAGAATTACAATTTAATCCAGAGCAAATTTTTACTATCACCCAATTGTATCAGGATGATACAAATGGGTTTGTTAAAGTATGTTCCTAGATAAATCGAAAGGATATTTAGGGTTAAAAGATGCATTTCAATAATTCATATAGCAGAAAGCAAGCATTAATTACATTAATTATTAATTACTCAAATTTTAGAAACTTTTATTGACATCTAAATTTTGATTTATTTTGAATTTTAGGTCATTAACACTGTGAAGTTAGTTACGGACAAAATTGAAGAGAAAGGTCTTCTCGATTTGTCTAAAAAACAATTTTTGCGAAGTTCAGACCCAATGCAACCCACAGATAATAGAGCAAGAGTTGTACGTGAATTACTAGAGACAGAACGAAAATATGTTCAGGATATGGAAGTTTTACAGGTATTTTTAATATATATAGTTTCACTTTCTCTTAGTGCAACACAATACCTTTGGAAGTTTATATTGATGATATAAATTAAATTAATTATCAAAAATTTATTATTTTATTAATAAAATTCATATTATTTTTAAGAATTATGCAAGAGAACTTCAAAATCAAGATATTGTCAGTGCAGATACAATTCACCTGTTATTCGCTAATCTCAATCAACTAGTAGATTTTCAACGTCGTTTCCTTATTAATGTGGAATCCATATCTAGTGAATCACCAGCAGAGCAACGGTTTGGAAATCTATTTATACAAATGGTATGCTATAAATTCTATAATATTCGATAATTTTTTTTTTTTTTTTAATAAAAATTCTAAATCAATATTTTTTTTTAATAGGAAGAAAATTTTGCAGTTTATGAACCATTCTGTGCTAATTATCAATTCGCATCTGAATTAGTTATCCAAGAAACTCAAAACTTACAGGTATCTTTATTATTATTATTATTATTATTATTATTATCATCATCATCATTACAGAATGATTTTCTAATTAATATTGATTAAAACTTTAAAAAGAAATTGTCTAAAATAGTTGAGCCTACGTACGAACTACCATCATTATTAATTAAACCAATTCAACGCATTTGTAAATATCCTCTATTATTACAGGTATTTGTTACTTATTATTTAATAATTTGAGTGAAAAATATTTAAGGAATTTTAATTTAATTAATTTCATTCTTCGAAAATTTAGGAATTATTAAAATTTTCAAATAAGGATGAAACGCCTTATTATGATGAAATTGAACGTGGTCTTAATGCTATCAAACGTGTGGCTGATCGCGTAAATGAAACCCGACGTAAGCAAGAAAATGAAGCTGTTGTCAAAGATTTAGAACGTCGAGTAGAAGATTGGAAAGGTCATCAAATTTCACAATTTGGAGAGCTTCTACTCGAAGATTTATTTACAATGTCCAAAGACGATTCTGAACGGGAATATCATGTTTATTTATTTGAAAAGATTTTACTTTGTTGCAAGGAGACTAATCCCAAAAAACCGCAAAGTAAACAACCTATTCTTAAAAATAACACAAGGAAACAGAAAAGAGCTAGTCTGCAACTCAAAGGAAGGATTTTTATACACAATATTACAGCTGTGGTAGATAACAGTCGGTTAGGGGGTAAGTTCTCAATAAATACGTTTTAACTTTCAGAAACCCTTAATAAAATATTTCTTTTTTTTAATCTCAAATTGATTTATCAAATTAGTATTGTCTTTGAAAGTATACTGGAGAGGGGACCCTGAAATGGAATCTTTTTCGCTTAAATGCCGGAATGAAGAACAACTTAAACAGTGGAAATCTACTTTGGAGAAGTTATTATCCGATTGCAGCAATCGACAAGCGGTTTCTGTTAACACGCCGAAAGATTCAGAGTCAATAATTCCTGTTAAACGAACTGCGGTATCTAACACACAGTTAGCATCTTTACAAAACCTTGATATCCCTCTATATTCCCGTCGAGATGACGACGCTGCATCATTTATAGATGAAGAAGATGAAGATGAAGACGAAGGTGAGGAGGAGGAAATTGATGATTGGAATAAAAAAAATAATAATGCCAAACTCAAAAGTCAATCTTTACCTTATGGACAATATCCTTCACCTGCACATAACGGAAGAGCTCGGTCACGAACAGAAGACGGCTCAGGACAATTGCCGCAATATAACTGGAATTATAGTTCACCACCACCACCACCTCCACTACCACCAAATGTTCCTAATGTGCATCCTCAACATCGTGTCCACGCAAACGTATCAATGCCACCTTTGCCTCGCAACGGATCAAATACTGCAACACCAACTATGGCCACATTTCCATCTGGTGCTATTATGGGGGAAAATTCTGGTTACCACCCTAATTCTCCGCCTCAATCTTATCCAGGTTCGCCCGAGCAATCAACGCGTAGTAGCACAAGCACAACTCATTCTAATCCCACAAGTATATGGCAACGACGAAGTGTAGAACATCCTTCACCTCTTGCAGATACTATTGCTAAGTTTATGTTGACCGAAGATGATGAATACATGGCACCACCTCCAATAATGCAACGTGCACATTCTCACAGTGCAGCTGCTGGTCAAACTTTTCAGCAAACTGTCGGAACTTTGCCCTCAACATTACAATCGAATACGATACAGCCTAATTTGGTTCAGCCTAATTCAACACAGCCTAATCCAACACAGCTTCCTACAGTAGTGAATCGGATGCGGTCTCAAAGTAGCCCGAATATTCAGGCTATTCAAGAATGGGAAGGTACGGAAACTTTACCGGACCTTCCTAATTCTACAAATGTAGTTCGAACAATTGCTAGCAATGTATTCCATTCCACTGGCACGCAACAACGAGATAGTGGATCAAGCACATCTTCACGAACGTCTGTACAATCGGCACCTAACGCGCCAATCAACAGTGCACCTACCAACAATGCACCTACCAACAGTGCACCTTCACCTCCAAACGGCCATACAAATGGTCATCAACATTCATTATCTAATTTCTCTACTACCATGAAGATTAAGGTTAACTATGCAGATGATATTTTTGTAATAGTAGTTCCACAAGACATCGAATACAGAGAATTATGTGATCGTGTAGAACGTAAAATACGTCTATGTTCTACGAGGCGTGATGAAAGTATTCCCATTCGTATCAAGTACCAGGATGAGGACAGCGATTACATTACAATTAATTCCGACGAAGATGTCTTGATGGCATTTGAAGGTCGTCTCGCTGCAGGAGGGAATTTCGTTAATCTATACGTTAGCTGAATTTCCTGATATTAAATAAGAAATAACATCATAATAGTTTCCTTAGACTGAAGTCATAAATACTTTTAATTCTCTTTTTTAACGGGGGAAGTTTATGAAATATAAAACAAGCCCCTAAAAAAAAAAAAAAAAAACTTTCCACATATAATATATATAATATATGCACAATATACACAATTTTTCTTACCTCATTTGTTTTTATAAAAGTTAAAAAATATAATTTTGCATATTTCCTAATTAATTTTATTGAACTCTTTGAGACAAAACTTTCATTATTATATCATATTATCATTAAATTCTCGTTTGATATTAATCTCAATTCCTTTTTTTCACTTTTTGGTAAATATAATTTTAAATATAATTTTTTATTGTAATTTTTATTATATATATATATATTTTTTTATACACAAAATTTCTTCTATAAATTATTTTTTTTTGTAAAAATTATTTTTTTTGTACGAATATACTTAAGTGACCAAAGGTATTTGAGTTAAAGAAGAAAGTTTATTAAGTGAAATAGATGAAAATTCCATTTGTAATATAAAATTAATAACTGAAGTAAATGATGACCTATAAATGAATATTAGATATTAGGGATATATAAATCTGTTTTAAAATATTTAAATATTTGTTCAATTTTATTACTTTATAAAGTCGTCAAGAATATAATATAATGTTACATTTTAAATAATAAGTTTCGATGTTTATTTTATAATAATCCCTCCAAAAAAAAAAAAAAAAAAAAAAAACAACAAAATTACAACTACATATAAAATTAAAGCGATTACATCTTATTGAACATAAAAGATGAATCCAATATTAATATTTTCAGAGTTTGGCTTTATTCTGAACTTCTATGATTTCATCATACAATAATGTTGTCAAAAATTCGGAATATTCTTTTCCAGTGATCTGACTTGCTAAATATCTTTTTGCTAACAGATACTTGCTTGCACTAAATTGTTGAGGACCTAATTGCTTTTCAATTTTGTTCATTTCTTCTTCAAGTAATTTATTAATGTATTCAGGTGTAATAATTTTACCCTCGACAGTCCGAGAACTATGTCTGACCCATTGCCATAGTTGAGATCGTGAAATTTCTGCGGTAGCGGCATCTTCCATGAGATTATTGATTGGAACACATCCTAATCCTCGAAGCCATGATTCGACGTAAGTCAAACCCACAGAAATATTTCCACGAATACCTTTCTCAGTGATGGATCCTTGAACATTTGGGTTCAGTAAATCTAACGCTGTGACATTAACATCCTCACGTCGAACAAAGATTTGATTTGGTGTCTTTAAATTTTCATCAAAAACTTCTAAAGCAATCTTAACCAAGTCTGGATGAGCGACCCACGTACCATCATGACCAGCTTTTACTTCACGTAATTTGTCCTGACGAACTTTTTCGAGCGCCGCTTTATTAGCTTCAGGATCATTTTTTATGGGAATTTGAGCTGCCATGCCTCCCATAGCATGGACCCTTCGACGATGGCAAGTTTTGATAAGCAAACGTACATATGAATCCATGAAAGGAGAAGTCATGGTGACATCTCCACGATCAGGGAGTATGAAATTAGGATTATGGCGAAATTTTTTGATTACGGAGAAAATATAATCCCATCGTCCACAATTAAGACCAGCAGAATGCTCACGAAGTTCATAAATAATTTCGTCCATCTCGAATGCAGCCAAGATAGTTTCAATTAATACGGTTGCACGAATGGTACCACGTGGAATACCCAAAAGATCTTGCGCGACATTAAATACGTCATTCCACAATCTAAATAGATAAAAGTTAAAAGTTTTGATCTTCTTGTTCAAAAAAAAGAAAATTATATACGATACCTTGCTTCTAAGTAGGATTCCATCTTTGGTAAATAAAAATATGGACCAATTCCATTTTCAATTAATTTCTTAGCGTTATGAAAGAAATAAAGAGCAAAATCAAAAATGGAGGCTGAAACAGGAATGTTGTCGATTAAAACATGCTTTTCTTCCAAATGCCAACCGCGAGGACTGCATTTTGTTATGATTTCAAGTTTTAAGTATCAGCGACAAATTTCCGGACCAGGGTTAATATCAGATTATTGATTACATTTACCGAACAATCAAGGTGGCAATTTTACCACCTTTGCGCAGAGAATACTTCTTATTATTCCCAGGATTGGTGTAAGTAATAGTTCCAAGAATAGCATCTCGCAAATTTACTTGTCCATCAATATTGTTATTCCATGTAGGAGCATTAGAATCTATATAATTAAGTAAAAAATTTTATTAAAAAAACTTATTGATTTTAATTATTTTAATTCGCTTATGATGGAGAAAAAATTACCTTCAAAATCGGCCATGTAAGTATAAGCACCACAATTTAAAGCATTAATAACCATTTTCCTATCTACTGGTCCCGTAATTTCAACGCGTCTGTCAACCAACCCAGGAGAAGGATATGCACCTCGCCAAGTATCATCATTCCTAATATGAGCAGTTTCTGGTAGAAAGTCAGGAAGAACTCCTCGGTCTAATTCTTGTTGTCGAAGAACTCGACGTTGAAGTAATTCTTTTCTGACAGGATTAAAAGGTCTTTGGAGCTTTGTTAGAAATGAAAGAGCCTCAGGAGTAAGAATTTGTTCATGGGATTTGCTCACTGGGGCAAGAATTTTAACACCGGGAACAGAATTGTAAGACATGTCTTTTGGGGGGAAACGTAAAGATGAGAAACTTTTTATATCGGAAATTTGCGGAAAAGCTAAAAATTAAATCATACAAAGGGCTGAATTCTAGATTATCTACATTATCATCATCTTTATCTTTCCACCAGTAATATTCAAGAATGTTGACCAATAAAATCAAAATATTTGATCTCAAGGTCTTCAATCAATTTTTTTTGTTTTGAAAATTTACTTTTAACTGAATTTTATTTGAATTGAATAAACAGTTGATCTTTTAAGCTTATTGATTCAAGAATAAAATGTTCTAATTTTGGAGAAATTTCCCTCCAAAAAATAGATGTATATATAAAATTTCTTGATAATATATGAAGATAAAAAACCGAAGTTAAGATGTTTTGATATAATTAACTAAAATCAGTAAGTTAAGTGAAAAGAATAATCATTATATTTTTATAGGAAGATTTATAAGTAAAAAGAATGAATACATTCGGTCAAGATAAAATATTTTAAAGAAAAATTTTGTAGTACAGCATTTTTTTGCCTTGCCTTTATATATTGTAAAAAATCAGATGACAGAAAATTCACAGCCGAAGGTATATTTTTGGATTAATTTATACCGCGAATAGAATGATCAAACGGGTTTGGAGATTTTCCGGGAAACGAAAGTAACACCAACCAAAACTGTGAAATTTCTTTTTCGGGTTGAAGAATGATTGAAGAGTTGAATGAGCAGGTTTAACAATATTTAGATGTTGATCTTTGAAAATATCAATTAAAAAATAAATTAATAATTAATTAAAATAAATAATTAAAATAATTAAAATAGGATAATGGGATAATGAATAGTCAAAAAGTCAAATCATCTACCTCCAAATTTAGAAATTGAAAGATAAACGTATGACGCGAATGATTATAACTGTTACACATAATCAATAATATTTTCTCTTATTGTTTTTTTATATATATATATATATAATTCATATCTAATGCAAAATTACTTTACTGAAATTAATAATGAACAAAATGGACAAGAACGCAACTGTTGAAATGTCATCAACGATTTTTCATTCAACGTCTATAGTTCCTTTTATGTCGGATAAAAATTTTTCACTATTACTTCCTATAATTATTTATTGGATATATTCCGGACTGTACCACTTAATTTCGATATTTAAAATTCCATTCTTTGAAAAATACCGAATTCGTTCTACCGAAGCAGAAAAACTGAATAAGGTTACCATGAGTGAAGTACTTAAATCCGTCATATTACAACAAATCATACAAACGGTATTGGGTTTAATAGTATTGATTACAGAAGACGAAGACGTGTTACTTGACGATACAGTTGAAATGCAACACATTAGTCAAACATTAAAAACATTTTCTACGAAATATAATGCATGGCAAATAATCGAACCTTATCAAGACATTATCACGGAAACAATTTATTGGTATATTATACCAGTTGCGAGATTTTTATTAGCGATGTAAGTCGATAAATTCACTCAAATAGAAATCAATTGGAAATTTAATAAGGATTTATACTATATTATTATTATTATTATTATTATTATTATTATTATTATTATATATATATATATGTATGTATGTATCTATCTATATATATATATATATATATAATATATAGGATCATATTAGATACTTGGCAATATTTTCTGCATAGATTCTTTCATCAAAACAAATTTCTTTATCGACATATACACTCGTTACATCATCGATTATATGTACCTTATGCATTTGGTGCGCTTTATAATCACCCAATTGAAGGACTTTTATTTGATTCTCTTGGTGCTTGTTTAGCATTTAATTTTTCAGGAATGACGATTAGAGGTGGAGTGGTATTTTTTGCATTTTCATCCTTAAAGACAGGTAATTGATAATAATAATAATAATAAAAAAGATTGATAAATAATTTTAAATAATTTTATTATTATTTTAAATTTTAAATAATTTTATTTTAAATTTTAAATTATTGAATTAACATTTTTTTTTCAAAAACATCAATTATAGTTGATGATCATAGTGGTTATAAGTTTCCATTTAATCCTATTCAAAGAATATTTGGAAATAATACTGCCTAGTGAGGAAATTTTCTTTAATTTGAAATTTTTTTTTAAAAAAAATTTTAATTTTAAAATATCAATTAATTGTCAATCAACTTTTTTTTTTTATTATTATTATTATTAAAAAAAAAAAAAATTTTCATTAAATTAAAAGTCATGATATTCATCATCAACCTCACGGAATGAAGGTAAATTTTTCTCAGCCATTTTTCACATTTTGGGATCGTGTGCTTGGAACTTATGTGCCTATAGATCAAAATCATCAAAATCATCAAAATCATATAAAGATAGTAAAGGAAAATACTATCAATGATATTTCCAATGATATTTCCAATGATATTTCCAATGATATTTCCAATGATATCTCTAATGATATTTTTAGTATTGATAACAATAATCAAGCTTTTAAAAAGGAGGAAATTGTTAATCCCGAAGTTTTGTCCCCTGGAAGATATAATTTAAGATCAAGAGAAAATTTATCTTAATTATTTATTTCTATTTTATTTTATTTTATTTTATTTTTATTATTATTATAAAATCCTTATTATAATAAGAATAATCTCAAATTAATAATAATAATAATAATAATCTCAAATTAATAATAATAATAATAATAATAATAATAAAGAAGACAATCTAGACAAACTTCTTTATATTTCAAATAATATTTCAAATATAATAATAGAATAATATGAATATTTATGTATTTATGTATTTATGTATTTATGTATTTATATATTTATATATTTATTCATTGCCATTTTAAATTGACAGTACCCTTTAATGTTAAAAATTACATTTTGTGTATCATCTAAATTTTGCGCCCCCCAACAAATGCTGAATTGTTAAAAATATTTAACTTTTTCGTATTACTTTGTGTAACTCAAGATTATTATTGATCTTCTTTCAGTTGTATTGTAATAAAAAATTGTATCAATTTATAAAATTTATAAATTTTATAAATAAATAAATATAAATAAATATAATTAAATATAATTAAAAGTTTAAACTCATTCTCAATTGTTTTTCCTTTTAAATTTGTTGAGAAAACCATGAATCTATGAAATTTATGAAAATTCTGAAATTCTTATGTATAATTTGTAATACAAAACTATATTTCTATTTATATAAAAGTTCGTATTGTCATTGTCAGCAAGTTGATCATTAAAATCCTGAAACGAAATTGTAAATATCATCTGATATTATAACTTCTGCTTGGTTCTCTTACTTTTGTGTGTGGCTACCCATACCTGGCAATAACCAAAAAGTACAATTTTGGAAATATCGAATTTATTCGTTCTCAATTTTTCTTGGTCTTTGAAAACGATTGAAAAATTATATATACATATATTTTAATAGTAAATGGTTCACTCAACTACTATTACCACTATGAAGTCCAAAAAACCAGTTACAAAAAAGGGAATAAAATCTGTTAATACATCCGTGATTCCTCACCCCTTGTCTCAACACCAACAACACTTTCCCCAACAACAAAAACATGTTTTAAATAGTCAAAGTTCTTTATCCATATCTCGTAACAAGCATTGGAAATATATATCTTCTTATCATGGTCCATGGCTTCAACTTCCTTTGGAACTTCTCGAATCTCTTTACATGCTCAATAATGATAATGTAGCTACTCCTCCTCCACCGATGATTGATCCAATTATTTTTGGTAATTTGATATCAATTCGTCGTTTAGTTGATGAGGCGGCAGATTTATCAGTTCGAGCTGCTTCTGGTATGTCAAATACTGGTTCGGGACATACAAGAAATTTAATGTCTCATACGCGACAACATAGGATGCGTGAACTTGCGGTTAATAAATTAGCACTTGCATATCGAATTGATGAAATAGCTACGGCTGTGGTTACAATGCAATCTGCTAGTGCAATTGATGAAGTTGCCAGTAGAGTTTTGAAGAAAAATTCAACGAATTTAGAGGCATTATATGTGAATTTTTTTCATGAAAAAATTCCATCGAGGTAAATATAAATTTGAAATATTTAAAATTTGAAAATATAAATTTAGATTTTATATATATATATATATATATATATATAATATATATTATTATTATTATTATATATATATATTATATTATATTATATTATTATTGTTGTTATTTTATATATATATTATATTATTATTATTATTATTATTATTATTATTTTATATATATATATATATATATATTATATTATTATGATTTATCAAATAAGGAAAAGGATTGAAAAAAATAAAAAAAAAATAAAAAAAGTGCAAACAACTTATTTGTTGTAGTACTATTAGATTAAAAAAATTTGGCTTATACGGAGGATATGGAATTTCCCCAACCTAATACTTTGCACACTTTCTATCCACCATAAGTAGAATGCTATCACAATCTACATCCACTGATACACTTGATCAGATTATCGCAACTTCTTCAACAACTCCAGAATTTTATCGTACTCGTGGAGTTGTAAAATGTTTTAAAGAAGAATTTGTTGGTGCTCTCCGTGATTTTAAAATGGCTTTGACACATATAAAACATCGAAAACGTGTAAATAATGTTTTATTAGGAAAAAAACCAACTTTACCTCTTCATAATCATCATGGAAATGAAGATGATGAATGTACAGGAACAGAAAGTCAATTATATTTTTTACGTGCAGCATGTTATTTACAATATGCAATTAGTTTAATTGATAAAGTAATTCAAAAAGTTGATGGAGTAGAACGTAAAGATGGGGAAGGGAGTGAATTAAGATTAATTTCAATTAAAAAAGGAATGAAAAATGGAACATCCACACTTCCTAAACTTGAGGAATATCGTAGAGAACTTTTACCAATAATAAATCAAGTACAAAATTTAACAAAACGATCTTTAAGGGATTACACTCATTTCCTTGGATTTTATCCTAGTTCTTTGCCTTCATTTTCATCTATTAATGAAGAATATACATCAAAAGCAAATACACCAATTAACTCAAGAGATTCTTCACCGGTTAGATCATTTAAAGATAATAAAGATAAGGATAATAATAGTTCATCTACGAATATAATTGAAAATAATTTTTTTGATGTAAAATTTATTGATCGAAATCGTAGCAAGATACCTAATATTTCATCTGGATCATCTGATCCAATTATGAAAGAAGAAGAAGATAATAATAATAATAATAATAATAATAATAATAATAATAATAATAATAATAACGATGATGATAATAATAATAATAATAATAATCATCATCATCATCATCGTCATCATCCTCATCATTTTCATGGTTATCAACAACCTCATACTTATGCAACATATCATCCACTTCTTATTGAGGCATGGTACGCTATAGCACTTAATTATGTTCTTCTCGGAGATCTTCATATCGGTGCATTATGGCACGCTCGAATTGCCGAGATGCATGAATGCATTGAAGGTTATCCAGTCTTTCTTCCAGCGCGTTCAATGGCTCAAGCGGATTACATGGAAATTTTGGAACGTGTTAAGAAGGCAAATAGTCTTTCACAACATGAAAAATTGAAAGAATTGGTAGAAATTGTAAAGCAAAAAGAGAAAGAAAGAGAAGAAAAGGAACGTGAATGGGTAGAAAAACATCAACACTCTAAGATGCTTTTAACATCATCGGAAGAAGATAATAATAATAATAAAGATATGATTGAAATTAAAAAGGTTGGAGTAAAAATTGGGAAAAAATCCAAAAGTGTTAGTAATCAAAATAAAAATGGTAACACTGTCACACCAGTTATTGGTATTGATGGACAGAGGCATCATCCTTGTTGTCCTCTCGCACCTGGAAATCATTCCGGAAATCATTCAACACAAAAGGATCATATTCATAACCATAACCATAATCATTCTTCTTCTTCTTCTTCTTCCTCTTCTTCCTCTCCTTCAGGTCCTTCAAATGCATCAACTAATAATGTAAATACAAATTGTAATGGTAATACAGGGGGTCCAAGACAATATCCATTACACACACAAAGAGCGGATTCAATTATTATGTGGTTAAGAGCCGTCATTCTTAGACCGGAAAAATCAGATGAAGTGAAAACTAACAAGCCAATGACATCTAATGAAATTTTAAATAGGGAAAATAATCATTTTGAAGTAAAGACAAACGGAGAAGGAAATGCAACAGAATTTGATACAAAGTGAGATAATAAAGGCATTTGAATTTATGCAAAATTTCATATGAATTAAGAACTCATTGAATCATTGATTCGTTAGTCGTGCAAAAAAAAATAATTAGGGAAGAAAAAAAAAAATGGTGTTGAGACGTTTACCAGATAATAATTACATCTTGATAAAGTGAGTGGATGGTGAGTTTAATTTCAAATATATTTATAAAGTAAAATTAATCAACCTTATTTGGGGGTAGGCTAAAGCGGAGTAGAATCATGTGAGGTGATTCGGGTTAAAGCGGAAGTGTGACCGTATCACATGTAT